GGGGAGTTGAGCGGAACTGTTTAGCACTCAAAATGAATGTGCCAAATATACTATTTTTTTAAAATTATCTTCACTGTGTCAATCTTCAATTTCTAGATTATTTTACTTGTGTGAAATATTTGTGAAAAGACTTTTTAAAAGGCTAGGAGGCCCAGGTTCAGTCACTGGGTCAGGAAGACCCACTGGAGAAGGGAATGACTCCTTACACAAGCATCCATGCTTGGAGAATTTCACAGGCAGAGGAGCTGCTGGGCTACAGTCCACGGGGTCACAAAGTCAGACTTGACTGATCGACTAACACCCACAAACACACACACAGTAACAATAATAAATGACTAAAATCCATTTGTATGTTTAAATCTGTCCTCCAATTATAAGCATAAATTCTATTTTCCTAATAATATAAGTACATGATTTGCTCATGAATAAGGAAATTAACTAATGATGGATTTTCCTCACAAATGCTTGACCATGGAAAGGTAACTGTGAGTGTACATGTTGAAATGAATATTCAAACAACTGCTTTTAAAACATGGAAAGTCTCATCATTTCTTTATGGTTCATTTCTTAAATTACTGTCTCTAATGATCATTTCTCAGGTACAAAGGAATTTAAAAATATTTGCAGATGGAAACACTGCTAGATAAGGATCTTCCTTTTGTAAGGATCTTCTTGAGTAAAAATACCCAACTACTGCCCTTCACAGAACTGATACTCTAAGCCTATTCCATCTTATTTAATACTATCCCATCCAAAAAATTAGTTTGAATCATTCTACATTTATTTGTCACCTAATAGGTGCCAGACACTGAGTTTAACAATGAACGGACTACAAATATGAGGAATCCATATTTTCTACCTTTAAATAGATCCTTTATTCATGCAACAAACAAACATTTCATGCAAAAATGGGCACAATAAAGGACAGAAATGGTATGTGTAATGGTATGTGTAATGGTGAAAGCAGATGATATTAAGAAGAGGTGGCAAAAATACATAGAACTGTACAAAAAAGATCTTCATGACCCAGATAACCACAATGGTGTGATCATTCACCTAGAGCCAAACATCGTGGAATGTGAAGTCAAATGGGCCTTAGGAAGCATCACTATGAACAAAGCTAGTGGAGGTGATGGAATTTCAGTTAACTTATTGCAAATCCTATAAGATAATGCCATGAAAGTGCTGCACTCAATATGCCAGCAAATTTGGAAAACTCAGCAGTGCCCACAGGACTGGCAAAGGTCAGTTTTCATTCCAATCCCAAAGAAAGGCAATCCCAAAGAATGTTGAAACTACCACCCAATTGCACTCATCTCACATGCTAGCATTAGCTCAAAATTCTCCAAGCCAGGCTTCAACAGTATGTGAACCATGAACTTCCAGATATCCAAACTGGATTTAGAAAAGGCAGAGGAACCAGAGATCAAAATGCCAACATCCATGATCAAAAAAGCAAGAGAGTTCCAGAAAAACATCCACTTCTTTTTTATTGACTATGTCAAAGCCTTTGACTGTGTGGATCCCAACAAACTATGGGAAATTCTTCAAGAGATGGGAATACCAGACCACCTGACCTTCCTACTGAGAAATCTGTATGCAGGTCAAGAAGCAAAGGTTAAAACTGGACATGGAACAACAGAACGGTTCCAAATTGGGAAAGGAGTACGTCAAGGCTAAATACTGCTACCCTGCTTATTTAACATATATGCAGAGTACATCATGAGAAACGTTGGGCTAGATGAAGCACAAGCTGGAATCAAGATTGCAGGAAGAAATATCAATAACCTCAGATATGAAGATAGCACCACCCTTATGGTAGAAAGCAAAGAACTAAAGAGTCTCTTGATGAAAGTGAAAGAGGAGAGTGAAAGTTTGGCTTAAAACTCAAAATTCAAAAAACTAAGATCATGGCATCTGGTCCCATCACTTCATGGCAAATAGATGGGGAAACAATGGAAACAGTGAGAGACTTTCTTTTCTTGGGCTCCAAAATCACTGCAGCTGGTGACTGCAGCCCTNTGCCTGAAGAAATACGGACAGAGATTCCTAACACTGTACAGGGGGCAGTGATCAAAGAAGACAAAATGGCTGTCTGAGGAGGCCATACAAATAGCTGAGAAAAGAAGAGAGGTGAAAAGTAAAAGAGAAAAGGAAACATTTACCTATCTGAATTGGTAAAGGAGAGATAAGAAAGCGTTACAGACTCTTGAGAGTCCCTTGGACTGCAAGGAGATCCAACCAGTCCTAAAGGAAATCAGTCCTGGGTGTTCATTGGAAGGACTGATGCTGAAGCTGAGCTCCAATACTTTGGGCACCTGATGTGAAGAGCTGACTCATTGGAAAAGACCCTGATGCTAAGAAAGATTGAAGGTGGGAGGAGAAGGGGACGGAAGAGGATAAGATGGTTGGATGGCATCACTGACATGATGGACATGAGTTTGAATAAACTCTAGGAATTGGTGATGGACAGGGAAGCCTGATGTGCTGCAGTCCATGAGGTTGCAAACAGTCAGACACAACTGAGTGACTGAACTTAACTATTCTGAGCTGGATCTCCTGTGGGAGTTGGAGACAGCAGAATGGCAGCCAAAGTTTTGCCCATGTGGAAGTTGTACAATCTAGTGTGAAAGTAAATACTGGAAAAGAAATTTAAGCATAACTGTTGCACAGAAGTACAGGATGTTATAAGAGCACATGATAGGTACACCTAATGTGTTTGGAACATGAGGTAAGGCTCTTACGTTGACAGTAGACAAAACATTAAAATAACTATAATAAATCCAGAGGATTATAAGTGGTACAAGAAACATATTAAAGTACAAGGAACAAGAGTGACCACTTGTAATTGGCACATGACTAAAGATGGTAGAAATCTGAAAGCCTTCCTAGAGTCAACATCATTTTGAATTGAGCAAAGAAAGGCATTTTATTAGGGCACGGTTTAAGATAAACTGACAACTCCTGAAGCAAACTGCAAAACATGTGAACAAAGTACTACTGTTACTAAAAATGCACATATGTGTGCCCGATGCACAGTGATGCCAAGCAATACCAAAACATCAGAATTTGCAAGAGAGAAAGGTGTACAGGGGGCCATGCAAGGAGATACGTGGCTCATGTCTTACAAACCCCAAACTCCCTGAAAACTTTCAGCAAAGCCCTTTCATAGGAAAGGTGAGGAAGGAGGGTGGCTAGTTGTTGCCAACTTCTTGGTGTCAGAATATCTGTTCTTGAAGTCAGATTACTGTCAGGTGACAAAGTCCCTGTAAGCCTCCACCAAACAAATGTTATTCTCTGTTCTGACAAAAAGGGCCAGATCCCTGGCCCTTTCCCTCTCTGAGGTCCCAGTCCTGACTGAGAGGAGGCAGGTCTCAGAAGGGCGCTCCCTCAGGGTCAGGTCCCCAGATGTTGTCCAGCGGTAATCACTGGAGGAGCAGGAGCCCCACCTAACTGCCCTTGGGCTCCTCAGTTCAGTCAGTTCAGTCACTCAGTCGTGTCTGACTCTTTGCGACCTCATGGACTGCAGTACGCCAGGCTTCCCTGTCCATCACCAATTCCTGGAGCTTACTCAAATTCATGTCCATCGAGTTGGTGATGCCATCCAACCATCTCCTCTGTCGTTCCCTTCTCCTCCCACCTTCAATCATTCGGAGCATCAGGGTCTTTTCCAATGAGTCAGCTCTTCACATCAGGTGCCCAAAGTATTGGAGTTTCAGCTTCAGCATCAGTCCTTCCAATGAATACCCAGGACTGATCTCCTTTAGGATGGACTGGTTGGATCTCCTTGCAGTCCAAGGGACTCTCAAGAGTCTTCTCCAACACCATAGTTCAAAAGCATCAATTTTTCGGCACTCAGCTTTCTTCACAGTCCAACTCTCACATCCATACATGACCACNCGGTCACTCCTTGACAGTTGGTTGCTGTGGGCAGGGCCAAGGCGTTGACCAATGGCTGAGCTGGACCACTAACGGTCGCTCCTTGACAGTTGGTTGCTGTGGGCAGGGCCGGGCATTGACCAATGGCTGAGCTGGACCACTAACGGTCGCTCCTTGACAGTTGGTTGCTGTGGGCAGGGCCGGGCATTGACCAATGGCTGAGCTGGACCACTAACGGTCGCTCCTTGACAGTTGGTTGCTGTGGGCAGGGCCGGGCATTGACCAATGGCTGAGCTGGACCACTAACGGTCGCTCCTTGACAGTTGGTTGCTGTGGGCAGGGCCGGGCATTGACCAATGGCTGAGCTGGACCACTAACGGTCGCTCCTTGACAGTTGGTTGCTGTGGGCAGGGCCGGGCATTGACCAATGGCTGAGCTGGACCACTAACGGTCGCTCCTTGACAGTTGGTTGCTGTGGGCAGGGCCGGGCATTGACCAATGGCTGAGCTGGACCACTAACGGTCGCTCCTTGACAGTTGGTTGCTGTGGGCAGGGCCGGGCATTGACCAATGGCTGAGCTGGACCACTAACGGTCGCTCCTTGACAGTTGGTTGCTGTGGGCAGGGCCGGGCATTGACCAATGGCTGAGCTGGACCACTAACGGTCGCTCCTTGACAGTTGGTTGCTGTGGGCAGGGCCGGGCATTGACCAATGGCTGAGCTGGACCACTAACGGTCGCTCCTTGACAGTTGGTTGCTGTGGGCAGGGCCGGGCATTGACCAATGGCTGAGCTGGACCACTAACGGTCGCTCCTTGACAGTTGGTTGCTGTGGGCAGGGCCGGGCATTGACCAATGGCTGAGCTGGACCACTAACGGTCGCTCCTTGACAGTTGGTTGCTGTGGGCAGGGCAGGGCATTGACCAATGGCTGAGCAGGACCACTAATGGTCACTCCTTGACAGTTGGTTGCTGTGGGCAGGGCCAAGGCGTTGACCAATGGCTGAGCTGGACCACTAACGGTCGCTCCTTGACAGTTGGTTGCTGTGGGCAGGGCCGGGCATTGACCAATGGCTGAGCTGGACCACTAACGGTCGCTCCTTGACAGTTGGTTGCTGTGGGCAGGGCAGGGCATTGACCAATGGCTGAGCAGGACCACTAACGGTCACTCCTTGACAGTTGGTTGCTGTGGGCAGGGCCAGGGCATTGACCAATGGCTGAGCAGGACCACTAACTGTCACTCCTTGACAGTTGGTTGCTTGTGGACCGGGACCACTGTGTCACTTATCAATAGCTGAGTGGGACTTGTTGCCTGGAAACTGTGGAGAGTAATGGCACATAGTGATGGCCATGTGCTAAGGGCTGTGCTCAGCTACTCTCTGTTATACTACCTTGTAACACATCTAAGGTCAGACGACTCTATTATTTTCCAAACTTTACTTTCATCTCTGGCTCCAAGGTGGCTGCTCCTGCTCCTGTCATCACATAAGAATCTTAGCCAGCAGGAAGACAGAAAGGAAGCAGACTGGTATGAAATGACAAGGAAAAGTGACCATCATAAAATTTAGGTTGTGTAACAATGTATATGGTATTATCTCATTTCTACAAAATATAACATGTATACTATTTGAAATATATATATAATGTGTATATTATGTTTTTGGTATATATATATATATATGTATATATACATATATATATATATATAAAACATGCATGTATGTTGGCTCAGTGGTAAATAATCCACAAGGCGTGTGTGAGTGCAGGCAAAGATGCTTCAGTTGTGTCCAACTCTTTGCGACCCTATAGACTAGCCCACCAGCTCCTCTGTCCATGGGAATCTCCAGGCAAGAATACTGGAGAACCTCTTAAAACCCACATCTCTTATGTCTCCCACATTGGCAGGCAGGTTCTTTACCGCTAGTGTCACCTGAGAAGCCACCAATGTAGGAGATGCGAGTTCAATTTCTGTGTCGCGAAGATCCCCTGGAGAAGGAAACGGCAACCCACTTTAGTATTCTTGCCTGGAAAATCCCATGGACAGTGGAGCCTGGTGGACTACAGTCCATGGGACTGTGGAAGAGTCAGACAGGACTTAGCAGCTAAACAACATGCATCTCTATACAAGAAGAGTGTATATTCCTCCGGGCAATGCAAGTAGCAGGTAGAAAAGAGGGATTTCTACTTTAAGTAGTTCTAAACTATGTGAAATTTTATATGTATTACTCATAAAAACATCTGTAAACTAAAGACAAGACAGGCTACCAGAAGTGTTAATATATTTCTCTCCATGAACTTTCCATTAACACAAACATACATATTAAACCAAAAACTGATTACCTTTAATTGACTTTTATATAGAGATAAAAACCATCAGATAAAATTACATTTTTCTCTTGGTTAATTTAATGATCATGCTAAGGAAAAAGTACTCCAACATTCATTTCAATAAATGAAATCTTTCACAAACACGCTCCGTTTCTTATTCTACCACTGAGCATAATAGGTCCTTGGCGAGAGAAATAATAGTACCAAATAATTATTAACATTTTCTTAAACTTCAAGATGTCAACCAAGCATTGCTAGATCTATCATATTTTTAAATGAAGACTTATTTTAGAGCAGTTTCAGGCTCACAGCAAAACTGAGCAGAAGGAACAGAGATTTCCCATATACCCCCTAGTCACCCCCCAACAAGCAGAGTCTCCCCCATGATCAATTTCTACTATCTTAGTAATATAATTTTTGCAATTGATGAAGCTATACTGACACATCATAATCACCCAAAACCCATAGTTTACATTACGGTCACTTTTGGTGCTGTATATTACATGGATTTAGAAAAATGTAAAATGACATGTATCCATCAACATGGTATCATTTGGAGTAATTTTACTGCCTTAAAAATCCTGTATATGCCACCTTTTCATCCCTTCCGTCACCCTAACTTCTGGAAACCACTGTTGTTTTTCCTGTTTCCATAGTTTCACATTTTCCAGAATGTCATATGGCTGGAATTATACAGTATATAGCCTTTTCATATTGACTCCCAATGTTTAAATATACATTTAAGGTTCTTCCATGTCTTTTTATGAAACAAGAGCTCAATCTGTAAAATATCAAGTGTGTTCCTATCATGTTATTATAGCATTTAGTGTCTTGTAACACTAAGATATATTTTGGATATATTGAAAATAAATGAGAACGGTGCTTTTCTTGAAAACAAACGATGTTCCAAAAAATATTACTAGTAAAACTGAAATGAAAAAGACATATAAAGATTGAGAATGTAGAATGCATAGGAATAAACTTAACCAAGGAGGTAAAATTATGAAATGCTGCTGAAAGAAATCAAAGAAGACATACAGGAGGAAAGACAAATGTGTTCAAAGATTAGAACCCTTACTAAGGTTAAAAATGTCCATAGCACCCAAAGCAATCAAACAATCAATGTAGTCTGCATCCTAAGCCCATGAGCACTATTCACAGAAACAGAAAAAAAGATTTTTTTTAAATTGATATGGAACCATAAAGACTTTAAATAACCAAAATGATCTTTAGAAGGAAGAACTAAGCTGAAGGTATCATACATTCTGATTTAAAAAATACATCACTAAGTTTCAGCAATTAAACAGTTGGTACCCACATACAGACAGACACAGACCAATGGAACAAGAGAGGCCAGAAATAAACAAAGGTGTACACATTTACCTGATCTTCGACAAGACTGCCAAGATTATATAATCGGGAAAGGGCAGTCTCTTCAACAAAAGGTGCTGGGGAGACTGGTTATCCGCATGTTCTAATCACAATTTAAAAAAAAAAAAGATGAGAATGTGGGTAATCAGTTCCCTAATATCTAATCAGGGAATTGGGGTTGATAATGAAATAAAAGGCTCATCAGTATCTCTAGTTTCCAGATATGGTCTGAAGGATGAATATTTTATACTTTGGATAATTAGGAAGTATAAAATAAGTTCAAACTCTCAAGAATTATTAGCTTCAAATTTGGCTTCACTTCCATTTAGTTGTATGAATTTGGGCAAGGAATTAATTTGTCCATGCTTCAGTTTCATTATTTGTGAAATATGCAAAATAACTAACTCATAGTGTTATAACGAGCTTATCATAGTGCCTGGAACATAGGAAACTCTCAAAAGAAGTAACCTACAATGAGGCTGTTGATGGTTTCTGTTGATCATGGTTTGGTGGGGGGAAATGCATTCATTTTCTGTCTTCTCTCCCTCTTTCTCTCTTCTTTATTTTTTTTTCTTCCCTCCTTCCTTGTTTTTTGTTTTTTTTTTAAACCTGTCTTCTATTTCTGGCAGACAGCCTATGTAATTGTACCTTTCTTCTGGGTATTATTTGCCAAGCAGGTGTAAAGTGCAGTGCAATATAATTTAGTAAAACCTAATTTTAGGTATTAAATTTGTGCTTCTTTCTGTGTGTCTCCAGCAGAATCCTCGCACAGCTGTCAAGCCATGTGAAAGAACCCAGACCAACAGAGCATATGACCATGAAGGACCAAAGAAGTCAATTTTCTAACGTCTCATAGTTGACTTAATTTGTTTTTTACTTAAAGGTTTAGATTAGGAAGGAATAAGTAAATGCATTCTTATAATTACTGAACAGGGTAAGGTTTTCTTTTGCCTCGTTCAGAGCAGATGCAAAAGCCATTTTGTCATGTTGCAACACAAGGTCTACAGACCATCTGGAGAATCTATTAAAATGGAAAGGATTCAGTACAATTTGGATTACATGCTTTTAATAAAGATATGAGAGAATCCATATGATCTTTACTATCTTCATCATCTGTAAGTTTTTTACATGTAAATATTTCTTTCTTAAAACAAGAATAAAATTATTAGAGACTTCAAACACTGCCAAATTAAACTATTTTTTTAAAGAAAATCATAAAAAATTCCTTCCAAAACTCCACTTACAAAATCAAGGAAATTAAAAAAAAAAAACTTTCATATTGAATTGCTATTTTTTAGGAGGTATATCTGGAGAAGGCAATGGCAGCCCACCTCAGCACTCTTGCCTAGACAATCTCATGGACAGAGGAGCCTGGTGGGCTGCAGTCCATTGGGTCGCTAAGAGTCGGACATGACTGAGAGACTTTACTTTCACTTTTCACTTTCATGCATCGGAGAAGGAAATGGCAACCCATTCCAGCATTCTTGCCTGGAGAATCCCAGGGATGGGGGAGCCTGATGGGCTGCCGTCTGTGGGGTAACACAGAGTCGGACACGACTGAAGCGACTTAGCAGCAGCAGCAGGAGGTATATCAGGAAGACGTCCCCTAAAAATGTTTTGAATGACCTAATAGTCTTAACCAAAAAGAGAAGAATTTGAGTGAAAAAGAAAAAAGAAAGAAAAGAAGAAAGAAAAGAGAAGAAAATGAATGATTTTTCTAAAATGTTTACTGTAAGTAGTGACTGTATAATTACTTAAGGTACAAATATCGTAGACCATCTCCTTACCATGGGGGTAGGTCATATTTCCTGGCCATTCAGCAGTTTTCTGTATTAGATTCTCCTGCGTGCTTACCTTGTGTTAACTCATTTATTCTTTCTTACAATGTGATGTGGGTGGTATAGATATTAACCCCATTTCACAGATAAGCAAACTGAGTGAGAAGAGTTGAAGGAACTTACGAGGTCAAGGTCATACAACTGGGAAGTGATTGAGCCAGGATATAATTAATTCAGTCGATCTGTTTCCAGAACTTGTATCATCACCTCTTACACTGAACTCTTGCGTGGGGAAGAAGACCGTAGGCAAAATGTGTCCATACCTTGGGCTCCATTTCCCTCATTGAAAAACTGCAGTGGATGTATGAGCTTGTGAAAACAGGGGAGTGATCCGAGGAGAACATCAAAAATGATGAGCACTTTGGACAACACAGCTAATGATGAAAGATGAAAATAATTAGAATGACTGAGCCTTTTAGAGGCAAGGAATGTTTCTACTTGTGTTCATGGAATACCAACAGTAGCAGTCATAGTAGCAGTAGACAGTGGTGCCCATCTTTACTGTCTTTCTGCAGAGAAATTTTGTTTATGTTTCAGCAAGAAAAATATTTTTGCCTAAAGCCTGTGACTTTTTCAAATTTGCAACAGAAAACTGCATATCATCTTTTTCTTGAAAAGTTATGAGGGTGTGAGAAAAAAATCATGACTCCGCTGTTTACCACCCATAAAAGCTTAGCTGAGATTTTTAATTTCTTGGAGCCTGCATTTTCTTGTCTGCATAAGAAATAGTAGTACATACTTGCACGGTTGATGAGGATATTAAATGAGTTATGCCCAGAGGGATGCTTAGCATTCTGTCCAGCAACTACTTACTATTTAACACACAATCATTATTATGATTACCATTACTACTAATTCCTGTGGTCAATGATGAATCCTTTGACATGAGTTTCAGTCCACTAATGTGCAAGTGTGCCTGGTCATACGGACACAGATACCTGTTTTTTTTTTTGTTTTTTTAAACAAAGGTAGAAATAGAAACAGCAAAAGCATTTTGTGATGTGAATTCACCTTGGCCATCTACCCTTGAAATTTTATATCAGTTCTTATTGTTAATTAAGAATGACTCCATTGGAAAGCTAAAAATTCCATAGGAAGCCTATGTAATCTTATATTGTCATGAAACTTTAAGCCAAATAGAAACACACACATCATTAGATGTTATTGCAGCCATTTAAGACTGAGACATAAGTAAGTAAAGATGGTTTTACCTGATCATTGTGTGGAGGTATAATCTTATATTTATTATAAAATTAGAGATCTTGAAAATGTTTCCATACTGTCTCCTGTCCTGTGTACCAGTGACTCTATGCAAACCAAACACACCAACAAATGTTACACAGACATGCTATTGGCTTTTGCTTTCACTCTCACTAGTTAAGAAAAGATTTGGAAAGATCAGGTTAGCAGCTCGAGCAGAGGGTGAAATATATAACAAACTGAATGACTTCCATACATTACTTATTTCTAGTATTTTAAATATCATAAAACATGGTATTTCCTCCTGCATTAAGTTGCTATGGATAAAATTTTAAATTAATTTTTCTTTTTTGCCAGAGACATAGAATGATGAAACCCAGGTATGTTATTCCCTGAGTATGAGATTTAATTTGCCTGAATAACTCAAGTCCATCTACAGAAGTTTGGTACTTTGCAGGGGTTTGTTTTTGTTTTTTGTAGTTTTTGATTCAAAATTCACTCTCTTTGAGATTCAAAAAAAAATTTTTTTTTATTTTATTTGCTTGTCTTATCAAATACTGAACTTGCTCAAACTGGGTTTATGATATATCTCACTACAAGGTAAGCCCTGTGAAGGCAGGGATTTTGTCAACCGTTTGCAGCTGACATAGAAATAATAACACATGTTGGCAGGCAGTCCTTACTTGTCCAGTGAATAAGTCAAGGTTTCTCAACCTTGGCAACTACTGACATTTTGTTTGATTCTTTGTTGCAGGCAGCTGTCTTCTGCATTGAAGGATGTTGAACAGCATCCTTGGCCTCTACCCTCTAGATGCCAGGAGGTGCCAGTAGCAACTCCCCTCCCTAGCTGTGACAACTTCAAATGTCTCCAATTATTGCTAAATGTCTCCTGGGGGAGGGAAGGGCCCACAATGCCCTTTATCAAAACTACTGCAGTAATGAATTGTTTTGACATGTCAAAGGAAATCTTCATAACTATAGGTTCCTAGATGAAAACAAAAGAAGAATTTGGAAGCTATTTGATTTGTGCAATCAATACTGATTGCTAAGTTGCTTCAGTTATGTCCAACTCTGCAACCCTATGGAGTGCAGCCCTTCAGATTCCTCTGTCCATGGGATTCTCCAGACAAGAATACTGGACTGGGTTGCCATGCCCTCCTCCAAGGGATCTTCCTGACCCAGGGATCACACCTGGGTCTCATGTCTCCTGCACTGGCAGATGAGTTCTTTAATCTAGTGCCACCTGGGAAGTCCTAATATAATCATTATAAGCCACTAAAATGGATCATGTATTCTCCACCAAGTTAACAGGACTGTTGAATCATTTCAAGAGATTTGTTACAGTAAAAGGGAAATTATTTTTCACCATCAAGGGGCAGAGGAGAAGGGGTCACTCTCAGTCACTGACAGTAATACTGGGGCAGTCTTTTATCATCTCTCCTATTGCTCCCAATCCAGTTCTTTAAGGAACCTAATGTTATTTCCATATCTGAATGTAGAGGTTCTAGCCCCAAAGTTTACAAAGTATTTAACATTGTAAATAGGATATGGAACTCAGGGTTATTTTGGTGATGCAGCTGTTGGCAGCTCATCCATTTCTGGAACGTGAGAAGCATCCTCTGACAATATGCAATTGTCTAAGCGACTACATTGCCATTTGCCATGATTCTGGTTTCCTTCACATGGTGTTTGGAGGACTTGGAAAATTTGCCACTGTATTAGCAAGGAGGAATGTTGGGTGTGAAGAGAGGCCTGGGGGAATAGGCTCAGTGATCACACTTCATCTTCGCCAAGTTCTCAGCTCAAATGAAATGCAAGTGGGTGGTATTTTAAATAAATCAATCTCTCTGTCTAAGGAGATATACATGTTTATATGATTTTCTAACCTGGATATATTACCCACAAAAGAGGGGATGGCAGTGATGCTAGATGAGGTATTTAAAGCACTTAGCACAGTGGCTGGCATGTAGTGAGAACTGCGTTGGTATAAGCTATTATGATAATTATCATCATCATTAAACATATGCAGGAGGTGTTATACCTCATAAGCTACTTGACTATGATGGAAAGAGCAATGATGCAAGGACAATGAAGTCATACAGGATGGAATGTTGGTTCAGCTACTTCCTAGCTGTGCACACTCTAGTGTGCACTCAATCAGCATAATTAACCCTGTATTGTATTAGTAGTAACAACAGACTTCAATATCTAAATTGCTTGCAACTCTTAATGCCTTTCTTGCTCAAATCCATGCCCATCAAGGTCTGACTGCAGCTCTGCTCTACATCAATCTTATGCCAAGACCCAGCTTGTGAGAATAGTCTCCTTGCAATGAATACATCAGATTAATCATGGTAGAAGGAAATTAAAAACATGGCAAGTCATGAAGGGGTTCTTACAATTTCTGCTTAGAAAGGCAGTCATAACTTCAGCCCACAATCATTGACCAAACAAGTAACATGGCAACTCCCGAGTTCAAAAGGGCAAGGATACATAGTGGAGGAATACTGCAGAGAGGACCAAGATGGTGCCACCATCGACCACCCTCTTAAGTGGGCCTCGGAGGCCTCATCTTTGTTTCTGCAACAGTGTTAGCAGTTGGAAATGAAACTAATACACTTGGAGATATTATGATGTGTCAGACTCTGCTCAAGATATACCTACAAAATCTCATAGAATCCTCAAAACAACCAGTTAAATTGACATCGTTGGCTCCACTTGACAGATTTTTAAAAACCAGAGGTCTTGAGGAGGTTAAGTAACCTCACACACAAAATCATATACAAAAACTGTAGGACCCAAGCTGAATATCTGCAGTTGCATAACCACTTATTTTTGAAATAACTTGTTTCTAATTGTTTTAGACTCTATCTTCATGTAGGAAGAGCAGTAGGAACAAAACTGGCTGGCTGCAGATGGTGCAACTAGCCCTCTGGAGTTCTGACTCACTAACTTTCTAGTTTTTCTCCAACAAAATCCATGGGTAGGGGTCATCTACCCTGGCCACTCTTTTTTACCCAGTTTTGGTCTGCTGCCTCCCCTTCTCAGACT